GCTTCTCACACATTGATGTAATCTAAATATATAAAATTACTTGTCCTGACTGACTGACAGTGATTGATTCATCATTACCCAGAGCAAACCACTGAACCTAAAGAAGTGAAATTTGGTACACAGGGTACGTCATGAAAACACACACCAAGATGGGATTTTTTTAAAATTCCCCTGGGGGAGAGGGAGAGAATTCATGCTTAACCTGAAGAACAGCTTCTACTGTACTATTTTAGATGTGATTTTTTGTTTTCAACTATGTTTAGTCTTCATTGAGTACTTAGGTGTATTAAATTGACAACATTTCAGACATTGTTATAAATATTTTTAAAATATNTATTTATATAGATAGATAGAAGATGATCTGCTTTAGTTCATTTTCACAGAAAAGCGTAATGCCTCACAGGAAAGCAAACTTAGGGCATCGTACTCATAGCGCCATCTGTTGGACACAAAAGCCTTAACCTAGTTTATATCTTTTAATTTATATGAATGTTTAACGGAATAATATACAGCCTATGTCCACTCTGAAGTTCCATTCTAAATATTGGTGAAAGAATTTTTGAAATCGGATGAGTAGTTTCGGAGATTACCTGCTGCATACAAACTTACATACAAACATTACCTCTTTATAATATTAGTATAGATAAATACAGTATACGTACAATACTGTGCAGCAACCCAATAATTTCATTCATTGCATTGTTAATCCACTTATCTGAATCATCTGTAGAATGAATCAATATGGATAATCGGAGTTCTACTGAATATCAGAATGCAAACAACAAACAATGATATACAGTATAGAGGTATTCACCGTAAAACACTTTCACACTAACACAGTTTGAGAACTGGAGACATCCCAGTACAGAAAGTCACAATTTTTAAACACAAATGTAGTCATTAAATATTTTTTTATTCAAGCAAGCATGTGTATCATCTCATATTTGCCCATGGATTTTAAAATATTAAAATTTTTTATGTTGCTTTGCTATTATGCCTTTGCCTCAGTTTTCTTTAATGAGAACTGATTGTACAATTTTTCTTCTTTCTTGTTCTAGTTTCCTATTCTATTTCCCATAAACCAGATGTTGCTGTCATTGGTAATAGTGCTAGAGCACTATCACCAATGACAGCAACATCTGGTTTATAGCAGATATAGTTATCTAAATCAGCAGTTGGCAACCTTTCGGACCTCATGGACCAGTAAAGTCACAATTTTAAATCCCACAGACCACTATCATGAATTTTTTTAAATGATACAAAATCTGTAGAATAATGATCATAAAAGTTTAATTTTACTATATTAATATGAAACTCGCTTGTTTAATTATGTGACCAGTGAATCAGCACCAGAACGGTGATGCCTTTGTTAGGATTGACACCACCGTATCCTTTCAGGCAGATACAGAAACCTTATTGGCTGCTGTTCCGAATTTTGCACAAGCAGTTGCATATGTAGACACTAGGGGACCAAAATGGAGATGGCCTGAGAGACAGTGTGGCTTAAAGAAGTGCACACTACAACTTAATTATAAAGGAAAAAATACCTGTTTATTTTTTCCTTTATATTTATGTAAATTATTTACACATATATACAAGATAACAGAGTTCCATTATAGCGTTAAGAAATGAATAAAGCTTATATAGCATAACATAATTGAGTATTGAAGTTAACAGGTTTCTAGCCAAAAGAGAGAGAGAGAGAGCTTACATTCTTATGTGCGACGCTACCTACCTTAATCAGTCAAATTGGCTTGATTGAAGTCTGGAAGTCACAAAACTCCTGATGACAGGGTGGATAGGTTTCTTAGTGAACAGAGTTAAGCTGCTTGATGATACAAGTTCACAATTGAATGTTCGTTTCTAATGCGTCTACAGAAAGGACAGCCAAAGGGATCAGCGATGGAACACTCATGTGAAAAAAAGGAGGTCAGCGAACTCCCTGTGTCAGTTCCAATGTTTGTCTTTTATTTTGGGGTCTCTCTCTCCCTTTTGATTTTGATGCTCTTTTTAGGCAATGTTAAAGTTTTGACCAATAGATAAATTTTGGATGAAAGTTCCTGATGACACATACATTCAGATGATGTGTCACTTTTGGAAAGGAAGTAAAGCTGGAGAAAGATGCAATCACATTCATTTTTTATTAAGTGTTGAGAAAATTTTTCTTTATAGAATATGTGAAATTTAAGCATTATTCTAAACAAATGTGATATATTTTGTTGTAAATAATTAAAATTTCCATCTCATCCGGTCTCATAATTACAACAAATTAATGCAAGCCTACAGTTCATTGCTGCTTGTTTGAAATAAATTTATGGATTCTTAGCACTTTCCACGAAGGACGACAATCGCACTCACAATATTGTTTTATTATTCATTATTTATTGATAACAGTCACTTCATATTTGGATTTAGATTCGAATAAATATCCCCAATAAGTGTAAAAAAGCAACTAAGAATTTTCCATTTCTTTTGTAATACTTCATGTAACCCTCAGTTGATCAATGCCAAAATTTCTCCATGGACCATCCAAATTTTCTCATGGACCATCAATGGTCCAAGGATCACCGGTTGCTGACTGCTGCTCTAAATGAACCCAAAGGCTGTTGTGGTTTTGTTTTTATAGATTAAACTAGCAGATAAGCCTGGCGTTGCTTGGGCAAAAAGTAACGATAGCGAAAATTAAGATTATTACATTACAGCCAATCTTACTTGTTTTCACAGAATGCAAGAATTAGGTTCCCCTATTTCCAGACTAATTAGAAAACTTTTAGATGGGTCTAAAATTATGTTCGATTTCCTGCAAAAACACAAAAAACTGCATCTACAACTGTAAATCTTGCATGTTGCTTTCTCTTAACACTTCCATTGTTGAAGCCTTAATCATGCCACACTGAAATGCTTGTATACATGCACAACATCTATCGTAGGATAAATGTACTATGCCAGAAACCTTCACGAGAATGTATTAAACAATTTCCCAAAGTTTCATGGCAATCGGATAAATGGTATAGTAATGCATGAGGACACACAGACACACATTCATTTATATATATATATATAATAGATTAAAAGTTACTACAATAAAAAGACTCTTAGGCAAATGCAAGCAAACAAATTTATCAGATTTTATCTAAAATTACATAAAAGGATAATATGAAAAATGTAGAAAAAAATCATGATGTTGCCAATACTTCAGATTAAGGTCAACAGTACAGCTCAGAAGATGACGTTTTGCCAAAAAGAGGCATACTGAATAGACATTTGCGAAGCATGTAGAATTTTTTCTAGGCAACCCACATATAAAATGTTATAAACAAAAATATCAAACTATTTATCAATTATACCCTGTTTGAGATGCCACTGCTTAAGCTTATGGTTGTCGTGGAGTTGCACATTGAATGGCAAACACACACAAAGCAGGCTGTTTAGTCACAAAAGAGATAATCACATGTTAGTAATAAGACATCTTTGCTGTATCACGTGATACCTGCAAGATATATTAAAAAAAAAAAAATCCATAAGAAGAATAAGTTGTCCGGAAATGCGCTGGACATGTAGTCAAACAACCAAATACTGTATTGTCAAAGCAAAATCATGTGACATGCTGTGTACACATCTGCCATCCAACACACAGCTCCACAACAATGACAAGCTTAACCAATGATGTCTCAAACAGGGCAGTCAGTAAGTAGTCCCATGATTTTTTGTTTATAGCACTTTATACGCGGGTCACCTGGAAAAAATTTTACATGTTTTGCAAATGTCTATTGAGTATGCCTCCTTTAAAAAAAAAGGTAAGAAAAAAAAAACCCACATGTTCCCTTAAGGTAAATATTTACCAGTTGACCTCTTGTGAATGTTGGATTAGAAGGACATAAATTTTGTTTGTCTATTAAACCCTTTTTAGTGATTACCAAAATAAATTTTTTTTTCATGACAAGTATAGAACAAACTTTATTTTCAGTAAAAGTCCATCCTTACTACATAGGGCGTTTTTTCTAATTTTGCTCTCTTAAGACACCTCTCTAATAGATGTGTCCTAAAAACAGAAATTTTTAGAGGAAACACGTATAATAAGAGCTATAAGCAAAAATGCATCGGATTACTTACTGACTGCAAGGTGGAAGCTACCATTGCTTAACCTTGTTCACATTGCGGATTAGCATGTTGGACGGCAGATGCTTACAATTCGTATCACATGACCCGATTTCGACATCACTCGATCACATACTTGTTATTGATACTAGTGTATTCAAGAACTACCATGAATCAATAACTAGTAATGTTAAACAATCAGCGGCCTGCCGGCGACTCCCCTCTGGGAGGAGTCTGTTGGGAGCACAAATAGCCGCAACCGTCGCCATGACAGTGCACATAAACATAAATTGATAAAATTTTACCTATTATTGTTATTAACTCATTTAATATGACCAGTAACATAATAATAAGTCATTTCTAATTACACAATACGTACTATAGTATATTATGATATATCATGTGATCGGACAGCACCGAGAAACGTCACGACACTCTTCGTATGCGTTCACTATACAATGAGCCGCTCCACGACGAAAACAAGCTTAAGCAATCATGGCTTTCACCATGCAGAGTCAGTAAGTAATCCAACGAGTTTTCGTTTATAGCTCTTAGTAAATGCGTCACCCCAAAAAATTTCTGTGTTTAGGACACGTCTATTAGTGAGGTGTCTTAAAAGAGCAAAATTAGAAAGAAATGCCCCATGTATAAAGGATGAACTTTTACCTTATTTTCATATATAAATTTTGCTTTTTGTTTTACAACACACCATAAAAAATATCAAAGCCCAAAAAAACATTAAGGGAATGACTACTGGTTCAATTACTCTATATATATATGAATCTATTCTTGTGTTATAGACTTACTAACTAAGAACTACTGTATTATATTGAAAAGCAATTCTTAATGACTAATTAGTGTATATCTACCTAGACATTCATCTAACCTATTTATTAACAAACCTTTGCAGCTCTTGTCAATCTATCTCCAGATTCTCCTACACAGATATTAAGACATAATTTGCGAATTCGCACTTCTCTCATTGGATTCTTTTCTTTATCTTTATTAGGTGTTTCCTTTTGTCTTTCCTGAAATCAAAAATTTTCTTCATCATATATATTTTAATAATATGTACCTTAAAATACTTTAAACTATAAATAGAATTCTATCAAAGCATCTTAATTGCAATCTGTGTAAAAATTTCTAACTGAAAATGTCTAAAAATGTTTTATTTCATTTCATAACACATGTTACACGAAGAAAAAAATCTCTTCGTAAAACACAAGAAAAAGATCGTATATTACGTATTGAACATTTAATAATATGTTTTAAACATTATGAAACGTGGATTAAAAACGATTAAAATACGAAAACCCACCTTCGTCATTTTCACTTTTTCGTTTGGTCCTCAAATCCCGATCTCGTGCACGTATCTATTGTTGAGATTGCTAACAAATGACGTCATTGGTGTAAATTCCCAAATATCGCCAAAACATAAAATAATTAACAAATATATTATTTTCTGATATTAAATGATTAATTTTAAATTTCTTATAAGAAAATATATATTAATTTATTTAAAAATATTAATTTGCTGCTGTAAAAAAATACAGTAAGTTGAGACAAGTTGCTAGGTTTTTTATATTTTTCAATTTTTTTTTTCTGAATATACTCTACGAGCACAGAGAGCCTTTCTTCACACTTATTATAGATTTGGCAGAATCACACTACGGTCGCCGGATGTTGACAAATAAGACCCAACATATCCAGGACAGGATCGTCCATGAAAAATTTCTGAGTTGTTCGTCCGAATTCGCTCTGGGGATTCGGGATCGAATCCGGACGAGTCGAAAAATCTGTAGGAATTTTTCGGGGGTGATCCGATTGGATATGTTGGAACACCACTGAATTATTGGTTCAGCCAGATCCCCACAATGAGCGACCGGGAGGTGAGGGATGGGGCCGGACATATCCAGACAGACCACCCCGAAAAGTTCCTGGGGATTTTTCGACCCGTCCGTATTCGATCCCGGATCCCCAGAGCGGTAGGCTGCCACCATAGCTGCTCGGCCATGCAGCATATTAATTAGCCTAATTTAAGGACTGAAATTCCCAAAATTTCCTTAATTTTCAAGTGTGATTATCCATTACCAAAAATTTACAAGGATACCTATAGCCAGAGCCGTAACTAGGGCATGGACAATGTGGCCCCCGCCATAGGAGCCGATTTAATTAATAATAAAGGCACCAACGAGAAAGTTTCGAAATAATATGTATTCGAAATTAATAACACAAAAAAATTTTTATATTTATATTTATCTAAATGTCATTATATAATTTTTTATAATAGCATTTTTTATAATAAAATTATTTTTTTAATAATAAAAATTAAAAAGGCGCCATTTTTATTCTTGGCCATAGGCGTCCAAAGTCCTAGTTACGGCTCTGCCTATAGCTAATGTCAACCAGTGGCCGAATACTGGTACAGTACTTGAACGAGAGTTTATGCCTCGCCAACACGTGCAACTAAATATCCAGATGGCACAACGCGCTGATTGGTTAGCTGAATGACGTCAACCCATCGAAATAGGAAATGCTGATCGATTATATTTTGTGGTCGTTAGAAGTCATGCCGAAATATATTATTTTTTTTAGTTGTAATATGGAGTGAGTATAAAGTGAAAATACAATATAAAGTTTAGTTTGCATGTTTTGTTAAATNAAAATTTTTATATTTATATTTATCTAAATGTCATTATATAATTTTTTATAATAGCATTTTTTATAATAAAATTATTTTTTTAATAATAAAAATTAAAAAGGCGCCATTTTTATTCTTGGCCATAGGCGTCCAAAGTCCTAGTTACGGCTCTGCCTATAGCCAGAGTCGGTAGATTAATCTACCGACTCTGCTATAGCTAATGTCAACCAGTGGCCGAATACTGGTACAGTACTTGAACGAGAGTTTATGCCTCTCCAACACGTGCGACTAAATATCCAGATGGCACAACGCGCTGATTGGTTAGCTGAATGACGTCAACCCATCGAAATAGGAAATGTTGATCGATTATATTTTGTGGTCGTCAGAAGTCATGCCGAAATATATTATTTTTTTTAGTTGTAATATGGAGTGAGTATAAAGTGAAAATACAATATAAAGTTTAGTTTGCATGTTTTGTTAAATTTATAGGAGTAAGTTTAAAATGGTTTTATCGTTGTTGTGGCTCNGAGCCGAGAGAAAATTTCCGTGATCTATTGCGGTAGCTACAGGAATTTCTCCTAAATTATTTTTTATATTAATATTAGGTCTAGCTAAAAGAACAATTTCCATGGCTTCCAAATCTTCTTTTTTCCCCATTGCGATTATATGAAGAGGCGTATTTCCCAATTTATCTTTTAATTCTAAATCACATCTCGGTACCATCTCTTTTAGTATACTATGCAACGTCGATGTGTTGATATTCTTCCCAGAAGTACAAACTTTACATAAAATATGTATGGGTGTGCTTTCAGTCATTTTATCTTGTATGTTGTAATTTGCATTTCTTCGTTCCAGAAATAACTGTACTATTTCTTGATTGAAAACTTTTGGGTTAACAGATACATGGAGAGCCGTGATACCCTGAATATTGGTAAGGTTGACGTCTGCATGAGCTGCTAATAAAACCTTGACGATTTCTACATGCCCCAAATTGGTTGCTTCGATCAACGGCAATTTTCCCGTTGCTATATCTTGCGCATTGGCATTTATCCCTGCCTCAAGAGATCTTCGTACTTGCTCCACGTTATTATGCCGAATAACTTCATGAAATTCTCTGATTTTACTATCTAAATCTGTTCGGTGTATTTTATCCTCCAAACTTAAATGCTGGCGACAAGCGATCTTTCCCTTAACAATCGTATGGTCTTGAAAATTTCTACTCTCCTGAATATCTGCAATGGAATCGCCTCTTTTTCTGTTTGTGACGTTGTTAAGAGACATCCTTTACCGAATACGAAATTTAATTTCTAAATTGAGGGTCTCTATAGTCGTAAACTATACTAGACCTACAATCCGGAGATGTCGTTTGTTGGAAAGACAATAACGTTGTTTGTCATAATTAAATTTTAACAATAAAAAGGATTTTAACTGCACTTAATCTAAAACTAAAAGTATTCTGCGGTCTTATTTAATAAATGTAAATTACGATTGACTGATTCGGTTGCATTTAATGTATATGTTATATATATATATATATATATACAGTATATATATATTTACATGTAATTCTTTATTTGTTAAAATAAATTATATACATTTAGCTTAGAAATAAAATAATTTATTTAAATAATTCCACGTGCATAATTTCAGTACAAGCAGTGGTATTAAGAATGAGATTACTACTTTCTCATTAACAAAAATGAGGTCCTAAAAACATAAACAAAAATAGAATAAAAATACACAACATAAACTCCGAATAATAGTCTCTTACAATAGTTAAAAATAAAAGAGGCTAGATAGATAAAACTCCGTTAACAGCGCTGTTAAAACGTGTAAAAATTCAGTCGAATAATATTAAATATAAAGAATAATTACCTAATTTCTTTTCTTGGCGCTAGCAATAAAAATATCAATTTAATTTATAATGTCGATAGTTTTTAATAATTTTATCAAATACAGTAGTTTAAGTTGCAATTTCAGAGGAACGTTCATCATATCAGCGATTGAGAAGCCATTGATTTCTATCATTTTTATAACCTCGAAACAAACTCGACTAATTTTTTTGAATAAACTGAATTTAATAATAAAGTAAAACTGAATATTATAATAGAATGTAACAAAAAATTAATATGATTAAAAATTACTTCACAGAATGACAATGCCACAATAAATAATTGCTCGTTCTATTTTTACTTTCCTCCGCTCTGTTATAAATAACAGAAGGAAAGTATGCAGTGACGTGACGTAGCGTGGGTGTCAGCCGCCCGGGGCGAAGGAAAATTTCGCCGCCCCCTTATTTAGGTATCTCAATTTAAAAGACAAAAATTCAGTTTCGTCACAGAATAAGTAATGAAAAATTCCGTACTCATTTCAATTGGTCCGAATCGTAGGTGCGACAAAAATATGAAATGAAATGGTTCAAATTTTTACAAGATATTATTTATTGTGAAATTTTGCCGCCCCCACTACGCTACGCCACTGAAAGTATGGCAATCTGTGAAAAAATAACCCCCAAGATTTTTTACATTATTGGACTCGGGAGATCTTGAAACGTCGAGAAATGCAGAAAAAAAAACAATTTTTTTTTTCTGTTTGTGTGGATGTTAGTGTATGTGTGTGTTTGTGGCGCGATTTTGTTCACTTTTCCGACTTTTCCGGCAACATAGAGGCGCCATCTGTTATAATATTTTATTAAAATCTTTTTATATTTTTAGCCATTATAAAATGCCAATAAACTTAATTTCGAGGGTAGGGATGGTTTTTATAATTAAAAAAAAATTGTAAATGTTACTAACGAGTGAAGTAGCAATTAAGTCTGACCCTATTCCAGATTTGACACACGATCCCCTTTATCTCTCCCCCTGTCGACATTTAACCACTAAAATTTAACATCATCTATCGCCCTAATACACAAACCTCCCTGCAAAATTTCAGAAATTTTCGGCAAAAATCACAGGAGTTATTAAATTTCAAACAGGGTGAATAAAATCGTGCCACAAATACACACATACACTAGTTACTAACATCCATGCAAACAGAAAAACCCCAATTTTTTTATTATTATTCTCGACGTTTCAAGATCTCCCGAGTCAAATCTTGGGGATTATTTTTGACGGATTGCTATACGTTCCTTCTGTTATTTATAACAGAGCGGGGAAAGTAAAAATAGAACGAGCAATTATTTTGTGGCATCGTCATTCCGTAAAGTAATTTTTATTCGCCCCGCGCGACTTATCAAGATTCCCTGATTCCAATAATATTAAAATCTTCGGGATTATTTTTGACCGATACCCGATAGTAAAAATAGAACGAGCAATTATTTATCGTGACATCGTCATTCCGGGCTGTTATAAATATATTTAATTTAAAGTATATTCTCGCCACCTCAAATTAATAGTGACTTGTCCCTGTTCATTATACTTTTCCTTTAACGATAAAGTCGTACCAGTGGCAATAGGGTCCAACGCCATTCGGGAAACATTTTGAATTGAAATAACGTAATTTCCGGTTTGCATCGGAACTCGTGTATAGTTAATCGGGGCCTTCCATCCCTAAGGTATTCACGTCTGGTCTCTTTATAGATTTCGTGAAACGTTAGAACATTAATTAAATACGGAGATGTAAGAAAATGCTACGAGGATTCTGCTACTCTAAAAGATAACATAGTTCCTATAAAATTGGTTCCTTTTATTGAGATTTGACAGCATCCAAATAACATATAAAATTATATCTAAATGAATTTATCGCTTAAAAGCTGGCTTTGATTAAAAAACTTTACTAATAATAAGATCGGTCCTCATCCTCTGTATCACTCATTCCCATTTCATTAACAACGGATGAATTCATTTCTTCATGGCTGTGATTCTTATTCGCGATTCGGGAAGAGACAACCGAACTACTTCCGGAGATATCGGCTCCTATAGAAAATCTGAACATATTTCTGAGTGAAGCCATTCAAGTGTAATGTGTTTTAACACAAACTGATGACACATAAAAATAAAAGCATCTATTATGAATTTCTAACTTTATTAATTCTCAGGAATTAAACTTTTCGTTTTAATGGCAACGAAAGAGAAATGTACAAAATGAAATTTCATATATTTAATCACGTGATTTCATATTAAATGTAATTTCATCACAATGAATTACAATAATTTTTAACAATAAGCTGCGTCTAACAATATTCTATTGTTGCGATTTCCAAGCGAAAATGATGCGCTGCCTAAAGAAGTTTTTTTTGCGAATGCGAAGTAATAAGGAGAAGAAGAAAGGGTAAATTTCTTCATTAATTACATTTACAATTGAGATTTATTTAATATTAATTACGATATAATCGAATTTCCTTACAGGAGAGATGATGATGCTGAGCCAAGTGGTCAGCAAGTTACAGATTGTCCTACAAAGGTAAGATATTACTCTTTGTCTAGGAAAATCAACGTTATTTATAACTAAGATTGAGTTAGTCTTTATTTTTCTAAAGAAGTTTTAAATACTTTTTTCCGATAACGTTACAAGCGTAAACGACTTTTATTATTGATTTTTCTTAGTTGGACGAAAATTGTCTTGGAACAAATTGTCTCCATTCAAATAGAGAGGATTCACAGTTCCAGACAAAGAAAAGAAAATTTATAGAATTCTGCAGGAATGCATTCTATAAATTCTGTTGTTGTTGTCGTATGTCGGGCGAGATTTCCGATTCACGGGTAAGTTCTCGTTCTTTATACAATCCTCTAATTTAAAGAAGTTAATAATTAAAAGATTCTGCGATTTTAGAACTGCGAATTGGAAAATAATCCGGCACGTTCTCAAATTCGACTTGATTCATCGAAATATGATGAACACATTCTTAATGAAAATTACGAGTTTAAAGAAATAGGAAAGGGAAATTTCGGTACAGTTTTTTTGGCTCGGTGTAAAAATTCGGATGAAAAAGTGGCTTTGAAAGTCGTCAAGATGAAGCGCTTTTGTCTCGCACAGGTATGCTTTAAGCTTTGTTTCGATTGTAATACGGCGTTTATTAAATTATTCTTGACTTCAAAAGTCATCAATTCACACATCATTTATGTTATTACACGTTTATCAAAATTTATTTAATTATTGATGATGCACTAAGCTATGTTCTATAGACATTAATTAGAAATATCTACAGAATATTCTTAGTTTAGTGTATATTAAGAAAATGTCTTTATTTATAGAGGCGCGAGATAAAGAAAGAAAAAACTGCGTGGACGTCCGCATCGAGCCATCCCCATATTGTGACGTTAATAAGTTATTTCAAAATGAATACAAGGTAAATTTTAACCTTTTTTCATTTGAGTTATTGGCAATACNAAAACAGAGAATCGTACGTATATAAACTTATATATATATTTACAGTATTTATACAGCTAACCCTTGATTAACGCAGTTAATTAATCCCTCGATGCTACCACGTATTGTATATCAAAATCACGTTAATCAAATACAGTGATACTTCGGTACTCGACCGAACAATCACGACCCACTAGAACAAATTTTCGGTTAATAACAAATATTTTAATTTTAATTTTGTGATTAGTAAAAATGTTTTCTGTGATAAAAATGAGTAAGTAATTTAAAAATAAAATAAAACTTTCGAGTTTCCTTGGGGATTAGAAAAGGACAATCCGACGACAAAAGGGGGGACGTGCCCCAAGTGCTTCAATATATGGGATCCCTGATTGGCGTGTATTTATCATGGAATTTTTTGTTGCTGTTCTTCTTATTCTTCTTTACTTTTTCGAAAGTAAAGTTCTGAATCTTTTGCAAATTAGGCTAAATGATAAAAATATAACAAAAAATATTAATATACATGACTAGGGCCTCTCAATTGGCATTGTCAAAATAATTTTCATAGAAAAGATTTCGTAGCTTAGAACAAACAGGTATGCAGAGTTCGACTTTCTTCTTCTCAAGCATATTAAGGTAGCACATTTATAGTAACCTTTCTAATGGCATCAAATCAAAACTATACTTGTCCATGTCAGTATTTTTTGTTGATCTTTCAGTATTCTTTTTCCTCGTGGACTTCACAGGCCCTCCACAAGTATCCATCTCGTTGATGACCACATACATTAAAAAGAAAACGAAAATTTTTTTATTTTAAGACATTTAAAATATTTTTTAATATATCGGATGATTCAGAAATCTTTTGACATAGCAGTCATTTGTGTTACTGTGTTAATAATAAATATGTGAAGTGAATAACAAAAACAAAAATAAAACAATCCATACTAAATTTTTAAAACTTCAGTTCGCTATTATATTAAAAAATTAAAAAAACTTTTCATTCTTGGCACTACAAATGGCTATTACGTCGAAGAATTTCTGGATCATCCGGTAGATTAGAAGTGAAAATATGATATTATTTCTGACCAGTAATTATCAGTATTTGTTCTCTTTACGACACACTTGCTAGCTTTGCAGTACAAAATAATAACTATTTACAGAGTAATCAATATCATTAAATATAATTTATTGTTATCTTTATTCGTACAGCTTCTAGTCTTTTTTTTCTATTTAGGATTTTATTCTTTTATAGCTACGTAATTTTTAGCTATTAATCCGGACTTATCATACCACAATTTCTGAGGAAACTTAACTTGTTTGTTTTCTTTTTATTTATTAGTAAAATCTAAACACCAAGATGTATTGTACTGTACATTTCGGGGTTTTTTTTTTTATCCTTCTTCAGTTGGAATACTACATTTGGGTCTAATAATTGTGAATTATAGTACAAGACAATCTGTTTATAAAATTGTACTGTTAAAAATGAAGAAAATCTTGTTTAATACAGAAAAATGTTTTAAAATTTTAAATTAATGTAAATTAAATTTTAGAATTCCGTTTAACAAAATATAAGTAACGGTGTATGAAAAAGTTCTTTATTATATAAATTCTATTAGATCCAAATGTAATGAACCAACTGAAGAAGGGTAAAAACCCGATATCTTAGAGCAGGGGTCGCCAAACTTTTTTGATCGTTCACCCTCTACAACTTTTCGAAACCTCACATCGACCACACCAAAAAGTTTGTTACAAGCAGAAAAAAAAGAAAAAAAAAAAGCTCTTACTATTTTAATATATATCTTTTAATTTTACATTTTTTACATAGGTTAATAATAATTTTTGTAACTGACAATCAATGAAACGATAATCCTTGATAATCCTTGGCAAGATTAACAATATTCAATTCAAAATTTGTAAGTTTTAAGTCTTTTCATCGACCCCCCAAAAATGTTATATCGACCCCTGAGGGTCGATATAGACCACTTTGGCGACCCCTGTCTTAGAGTTTACTAAGAAATAAAAGAAATAAAAAACCTAAAAACCTAAGTTTCCTCAGAAATCGGTATGGTATGATAAGTCCGGATTAATAGCCGAAAAATACATAGCTATAAAAGAATAAAACCCTAAAGAAAACAATTTATTGTAATTTAAATATTTTATTTATCATTGTATAAAAGAATTTTTATTCTTCAGATAGCTAAATAATTTATTTAGATTTTAGAGCAAACATATTAAAAAATTCCATCATACATCATGTGCCAATAGTAAGTTCATTGCAAAAAAATATTTAAAACAAGCCAAAAAATTCGGATTTTACATAAAACTGTGATCTGTTTCTTGTTATTTTATATAACTTTAATAGTAGTTATAATAGTTAATAATAGTTTAATATAACTTTATTGGAATGAAAATTAATAACATATTTGCAAAAAATTTGTAAATACAGTAAACAATTGTTAATATGTGTTTATGGTAAAAGAAGTTATCCTCGAGTCATATTTTTATGTTTCTAAGAATCATAAAAATAAAAATCGCTTAATTGTGCTAATGTTAAAATGACAATTTAAGTTATTGCATTTGCAAAATATAGCTACAGTATGCGTGGACCAAAATTAGCCGCGAAGTATGATAGATAACAGGCAGCTATCGCAAAACTGTGACATTCATTTTTGATTACTTGGGAAAAGGTAACGTGTGTGCTTTCTTTTCTTATTTATCGTTCCACCTCTAAATTGCCATTCTTTGAAGGTATTAATTCTTATGAGTCTTTGACATTGGTATCCTGGATTGTGGTTATCATCGCGAACTCGCTCATTGCAGTTAGGCCGACATTGCTCGACACACTCGAAATAGGCAGATTATGGGCTCCCTGCAATAATGTTTCTAATTTTCCAAGAAATGAAGTCCACATTGGATGTCAAAAATATATATTTGCCGTAAATAGTTTTTTCCTCGTTACAGTACTAAAATTATTACTGCACCATTCTTATTTTTAGGATTTCAGGGATTTAGTTTCTATTGCCTCTTGTCTATCTCAGTGTTGTATCTGTTACTGTAAAAGTCCGAAGTCTGGTAAATCTTAGAAACTACCGTTAAATCCGATATTTACGGTATTGACTAGTAAAAGTCCGAAATCCCTGATAAAATGTCCACATTTTGGATTTTTACCAAGAGATTCTGGTAACTGTCCGAATTTACCACCGGCTCGGGTGAAAAATATATTGATATGTACTGTACCTGATTTAATAATAGGTGTATAAAAGTTATTTTCATAACTTTTGTAATACCCTTTATTCTGACAATGATAGAGAATTTTTAACCACGTTCTTCAATGTTTATATGGCATGTGGGATGATATAAAGATAGTTCATGAAAAATCGTGGCACAGCCAGTCTCAGGATTAGTTGAACATGCAAACCAGGACACCGGAAAATATGTTATCAACTTTCATGAAAATAAATAAAAGTTCAAAATGATCTGGAGACTTGAGTTTATTCGAGCAATGAAGAATAGAGCTTATCATGAGCGGATCAAATGTTCACCATATAAAGCTATGTTTGGTGTTCCAATGAAATGGGTACTGCCCGCTCAGTTGTTCCACATGATTTAGACCAGTGACGTAGCGTGGGTGTCAGCCGCCCGGGGCGAAGGAAAATTTCGCCGCCCCCTTATTTAGGTATCTCAATTTAAAAGACAAAAATTCAGTTTCGTCACAGAATAAGTAATGAAAAATTCCGTACTCATTTCAATTGGTCCGAATCGTAGGTGCGACAAAAATATGAAATGAAATGGTTCAAATTTTTACAAGATATTATTTATTGTGAAATTTTGCCGCCCCCACTACGCTACGCCACTGAAAGTATGGCAATCTGTGAAAAAATAACCCCCAAGATTTTTTACATTATTGGACTCGGGAGATCTTGAAACGTCGAGAAATGCAGAAAAAAAAACAATTTTTTTTTCTGTTTGTGTGGATGTTAGTGTATGTGTGTGTTTGTGGCGCGATTTTGTTCACTTTTCCGACTTTTCCGGCAACATAGAGGCGCCATCTGTTATAATATTTTATTAAAATCTTTTTATATTTTTAGCCATTATAAAATGCCAATAAACTTAATTTCGAGGGTAGGGATGGTTTTTATAATTAAAAAAAAATTGTAAATGTTACTAACGAGTGAAGTAGCAATTAAGTCTGACCCTATTCCAGATTTGACACACGATCCCCTTTATCTCTCCCCCTGTCGACATTTAACCACTAAAATTTAACATCATCTATCGCCCTAATACACAAACCTCCCTGCAAAATTTCAGAAATTTTCGGCAAAAATCACAGGAGTTATTAAATTTCAAACAGGGTGAATAAAATCGTGCCACAAATACACACATACACTAGTTACTAACATCCATGCAAACAGAAAAACCCCAATTTTTTTATTATTATTCTCGACGTTTCAAGATCTCCCGAGTCAAATCTTGGGGATTATTTTTGACGGATTGCTATACGTTCCTTCTGTTATTTATAACAGAGCGGGGAAAGTAAAAATAGAACGAGCAATTATTTTGTGGCATCGTCATTCCGTAAAGTAATTTTTAATTATATTAACTTTTTCTTAAATTTTATTTTTATAATATTATTAGCGGGATTGCGGCCGAAGTTTTTATCTCTAAAACATGAACGTCGAACGTCTTGTAAAAAGCGCTCGATGTTCGACGTTCACGCATATGAAAACTTCGGCCGCAACCTTGCTATTAGTACTGTATAATTATTTAGTTATATAATAAAATGAATTATAATTTTATTATACTAAATATACTTAATAACTAGTATTAAAATTAATTTTAATATTTGAATTACGAGGTGCTGGAAAGTTTCTGTGAAATAGCTGTAATAATTAAATTAAATTAATCATTATAAAATTGCTGTGGCCAATATATAGACAAAACAAGAAAAATATGGAAAATGTAGAGAAGTGGACGCAGGAAAAATTAACTGACAGAGATAAACGAAAGGTTTTCTTCCTTAGAGAAAAACAAGTAAATTAGCAGCTATCTACTAGAGAGGTAGCTGCTGATTTAAAAAAATACAGTATATGTCTCATCAGACGATGTGGTGATGATGTGTTAATTAATAACAACATAAAATACCGAAAAACGAAAGTGATACCTAATTTGATACCTGTTCACAAGCAAGAAAGACTTCAATAGGCTAAATCTGTCACGAGCTGGATCAAAGAGTGGGAAAAAGTTGTTTTCTGATGAAAAAAGAATTTAGATGGACCAGAAAGTTATAGACATTATTGGCATGATGTAAAAAGATAAGTCCAAAGTTAGGATGAGTAGTCAGTTAGGAGGTGGCAGTGTAATGATTTGGGATGCTTTTGAATTCAATAGGAAAACTGATATTGTCATTAATGAATAAATAGATTCTTCAGAATATCAGGATATATTAAAAAAATAATTTAAATGCATTTAGATCTTGATGGAAGTAATTGGATATTTCAACGAGACAATGCTTCATTCCATGCACGAAAATCAACTAAGATCTGGTTTATTAATAGGAAAAAATTTCGAAGTTCAACAATTTGTTTTTATGATGGTGTTTCTAAAAAACCAATAACCAAATCTTTTTACATGTGTTTTGGAAATGTCTATCATATATGTCTCGATTTTAAATAAAATTAAGAGGGAAAACATTGATGTATTGCTGAAACATAAATACCGCATTGTTTAATATAAATATCCACATCAATTCGTAGCCATATTATTGGCCATATTATAGCCAATTGTTTACATTTCACTAGCGCCACCACAAAATGCGGTGGCAGCCATGGATGAGGATAGAGAAAACGAAGCTTATATATAAATTTATAAATATACATAGTTAATAATCAAGTTTTTATTTATTATATTGTTATGTTGTCAGCATGAATTTTTAATAACACAAAAGTTTTATCATATTTGACAAAAAAGAAAAAAACTATAACTGGCAAGTGGCAACGTGTGTAGGAAACGAAGATGGCGGCTTCCAATACTAACCAAGAAGAGATAACAGATGATACAATTAATAAAAAAATCGAACCTGGAGTTGTTTATTTAAGTTACATACCTCCCTATATGACTGTTAAACAAATCAGAGAGTATTTTTCAAAATTTGGTGAGATTGGAAGGATTTATTTGCAACCAGGTAAGACGTTGACTAGAATATAGTTTTAAGGACTAACTAATGCAGTTGCACAATTGCAGATGTGAATGATACTGTTTGGACCTTAACAGAATTGTAGAGCATGCCCATAGGAGCAAAAACGTCAAAGGAACCATACCTCTACATGTAACTCTTTGTGAGATAGGCTATAGCTCCGAAATCAGCCTACTTTCGGGATGCGATCAGCAATCGTGCCATGCACTCTGCTAAGACTATTGCATTTAACTATTCAGCCCAGCTTGACTGTTCATGAAGTACTTGATGTTAAATATTGTTTGGGGATATGGGGGAAAGCCCCCACATGGGCACTGAAGTGTGAGTGATAGCAAGCACTGAAATGCATGGTTATGTACAAAGTGTCGATTAAAGCTTGCTGTCACAAGCCTTGACTGACACAGAGCATGAAGAATTGGCAGTAGTACTGGTTCAAAGTAGAAACTGTTTCCAGTCAGTAAAAGAGCACTGGTCATCATGCCTAAAACATAACTTGCTTACAAACATGACAGCCACAAGAAGATGGTGACTGGAACTGCTGCTGTTGGGGTTTTACATTTGGAGGCAAATATCTTTCAAAGGGTTGCATGTTGGACTTTTCTTTACTCTTTACCAAAAACTATTGGTAGGATGTCTGATCACTGTGTTGGGCTGTTTGTTAAACAGGCCATAGGCTTAGTGGAATGTGCAGCGACTCCCTGTAGTGCCTCAAAGTAAGCTAATTTTGGGGATTAAATATAGTGGTATGATTCCTTTGACTTTTTTGCTCCTATAGACGTGATTTACAGTTCTGTTAAGATCCTAAGTGTCATTCACATCTGCAATCTTACTCCAGTATCTCTGCATGCATGGTTATGTAATTGATATTGTGTTTTCATATTTCTACAGTGATTGTCATCAACTATTTTAAATGAGATGTACATTCTCTTAATTCAAATAAACAACAGCATCACCACCATCATTTTGACACCATATTAGAAATGGAAAATGACTATTTTCCATTGATATTAGTATGCATATACAACATATCGTTGGTGCACAAGAATAGTGACACAACTCAAAAATTTCCAATTTCGAGTTTATTGTAGAAATGTATAGCAAACTCCCCATATTTTTATGTTGAAGAACGAACACTAATATTTATTTCCAAAACAGATTTGAAAATTTTAAAAATCCAAGATCATGACAAAGCCTTGTAAGAAACAAGAAACTTTTAAATGGCTGTTCTGGAAGATCTATTTTTTTGAGTTGTGTCACTATTCTTGTGCACCAACGAAATCATCTTTAGTTATAAAAATATATGGCTATAAAAACTATGGCTATCCTTCTGGGAGTGAGTCCTGCACTTCCAGTAGTTGTCCGTCAAATCCTCAATTATAATTTGTCCTGTGAACAGACTCTGTATTTTTGATATTTTTCAAATAACATTTTGTTGACAGTATTTCTGTTCTAAAATTCTTTATTTCTAAAATATGAATGCATTTATGTTCTAGTAATCAATAAAGTAAATTCCAAAAAGAAGTCAGAACTTGCATTGTTCCATAATGAAGTTACATAAGTACTTCTATGTTACTACATTTCACTATACCTTTAAAATGCAGTCTACTTTTGTCAGTTCTCTAACGTTTTCGGTCTAATTTATAGACCTTCTTCAGGATTGCTACATTTCACTATACCTTTAAAATGCAGTCTACTTTTGTCAGTTCTCTAACGTTTTCGGTCTAATTTATAGACCTTCTTCAGGATTGATGTAAAATATTTTTCGGTCTATAAATTAGACCGAAAACGTTAGAGAACTGACAAAAGTAGACTGCATTTTAAAGGTATAGTGAAATGTAGCAATCCTGAAGAAGGTCTATAAATTAGACCGAAAACGTTAGAGAACTGACAAAAGTAGACTGCATTTTAAAGGTATAGTGAAATGTAGTAATTAATTAATGCAGTTAGAGATTTAGTAAGTACTTCTATGTTTTTGAAGAAGTAGAAATACCCTTGTATGGTTTTCAAAGAGAATTTTGTTTATTTTTAACTTATAAAATAGCTTATGCCCCTCATTTCAGACAAAGTTATCTGAAATGAGTCCCTAACTGTTACAATATATGGTGACAGGACTGATATTGGTCATCCTTAAAGCTATGTTCAAACCAAAATACTCTCATATTTGTAAATCTGAAGGATCTTATTCATTTATTTATATGCATATGTATATATATTTTTTATAGAAAAGGGTAATTCTAAAACAAAAAAATTTTCGGAAGGATGGATTGAGTTTAAGAATAAAAGGATTGGCAAAAGAACGGCTTCCATGCTGAATGGAAATCAAGTTGGAGGCCGAAGACGAGCTCCTTACTATCATTGCCTATGGAGTATTAAATATCTTCATAAGTAAGTCTTTTTTTTAATAATAACATCAATGAAATAATCAAAATATTAGTGTTGATATTATTATAATATTAAGCAAAAACTATTTACACTTAAAATTCAAATCCTGCATTAAATCTAGCAAATTAATATTTCAATCCTTCATTTAAATTGATGTCGTTGATATGTTAGAATATTTTCTATTGTCTTAATCTTAACTAAGTAAAAAAAAATTACTTCTGGGTTCTTTATCTTCTGCCCTAGCAACATTTCCTGCCTGTCCTGTCCCAATAACCCAACCTGCCGATCTTTTTATTTAAGAGATATTTTTCTATATTTCCTCCTCCACACACCATAGTAATATATTCTTGCAATGAAACAAAGAAATTCACTTACAAAAATAATCCTCTAAAAGGGTCTGGGCATCATTGCTACAGTAATGTCTCCTTCCTCTTATCTGAGCTTACTTCAGCAGTGGCACACTCAAGATTTAATCTTGAAGAGTCAAGTTTAATGAATAAAACAATTTTTAATGCAAAATCATTAAAATTCCCACCTTATGTGACCACTAAATCATAAGTAATATAGAAATAGAACACACAACACAATATAAATACAGTAATAAAATGAATTTTAATTAGGAAAATATTTTTGAAAAATTTACTAGTGTTTGTTTTACTTTGGACCATGTTAAAGGCCACTTTGTCTCACTCCCTGGGTACACCACTGGACTTCAGCATTCATTCTGATTAGAAAAACAATTTAAAAATAGTTCTGAAAGTGCTCTTTTACAGGATTAAAGTTACCTAAAACTTAAAATTACTGCTTTATTGGAGTCAAAATGGCTAAAACATAAAACAGGTTTGACTGAATGATTTTGCTATTGAGTGGCTAAAAGTAGAATTTATTATCTTTGAATTGAAGGCATTCTAGAATGTTATTTTGAAGTGTGTTTGAAATTTCCATAGGTTTTATGTTTGGATTTTGTTTATATCTTGTGTAGATGGACTTAAAAAGTCTGAAAAAACTAAAGAAGTTTTATTTTGTGTTTTATCCTTCATGTTTTACTTGAACTTTTGATGTGTTGTATAACTAAAATAGAATGCATAACATAAATAATTCTTAGAAATGTGTAGAGAAATTAAAATATAAATAAACTTGTTAAATTGATTTCATTCTAGAACACATTTTATAAGATATTCTTTTACAAAGATGCATTTCTTATTTTAAAAAAATATATTAAATTTTAAATGTTTTTAATCTATAGTAAACAATTTTTCATTATCTTGACTGTGTGCAATCCTCAAACTGCAAATTTCCAAATAACAATTCTTTTAAAATTCAACAAAGATCTCTAAAGTCAGATTTAAATCTATGAACTAACAAACTAGAAACAATGGACATTGCTTGGTAAAGCAACTTATACAATGCTTAACATACATGGTAAATCTAATTTTAACAATTTTTCTTTACATAGTGATTGTTATGAAAAATTTATAATAAATATTGTATAGATTTCTTCAAAATAACAAACATTGTTTTGGTAACTTTAGAAATTCTTTAGTATATATTTAATTTTTTTAATAAATCATTAGAAGAGATAGTGATCATAAACAAGACATCACTGAGAATAATTGTTGGAGCAAGGCAAAGCTGAGCTACAACTAACACTTGCCTTCATGCATTCCTTGTCAACATCATAACTCTAGAATGAGTTCTCCATTCTTGATGAAATTTTCTAGGACAACTCATCATCACTCAAGGATGAACTGATTAAAATTTCAACTCTCAAAAATGATCCATTTTTGTAGAACTAGAGATAGGGGTCAAAACAAAGGTTGTGTTTTTCTTCAGTATTAGAGGTCAAAATGAGTTGACTAAGGCTATGTCCTACTTGGCAGTGTCTATTTATCAAGCCTATTTATCCAGAGATGAACTTGGTCAGTTCCAAACGGCAGTAGAGATATATCTAACAAATGAGCAAGTTAAACAAAGCAATGAAGACTACTTGCAGTCAACTGCAAGTAGTCTTCGTTGCTTTGTCAATATCGTCCTGCCTTCATCCAAAGATGACTCAGCTCTTGGTCTCTCCAAGTATTGATATTTTAATCTCTCAATTAATGCCAGAATCATGCTGAGAGTCAACTTATGGGTGCAAGGAGGTCTCGTCAATGGTTCACTAGGAACTATACGTTACATTATATATGCTCCTAATGCTAGCCCTCCAGTTCTTCCTCTGTTTATTTTAGTGGAATTCGATAGCTATCTATGGTAATTTGTTTCCAATAATCCCCATAACACGCTTTTCAAACGATGGCAGTATATTGCAATCTCGTAGACAGTTTACCCTTACCTTAGTATACTTGATGACTATACATAAATCACATGGATTAACTCAAAATAGATATAGGTAAAAAGGAGATAACTATTGGTCTTACCTATGTTGCATTCTGTCAAGTGAAAAAAATAACTGACAGTATTTTTAAACAGTTACAATAAAGATTGCTATGAGTCAATCTGTAAGTCCAAGGCATATAGTAATAGACAGAATTTCATGATATGTTGGCATAGCAATTAATTAGTGGCTTATTCTGACCTTATATTTGTACCTTTAAATAATACAATAGAAATCAAATATATTGTTGAGAATGAATGATTCTTTCTCTCTTTTTTCCTCATAGTCTAGAAAATGATGGTGCAAGCNATTTATATATAATTTTTTTTAAAATAAATTAACAATTCCAAATATAATGCAATTTGGAATTTTAATATTTTATATGCATTAGAAAATCGTAGATATCGCGCCTGTTTCTTTTTTTAAATAGTTCTTTGGCGATATCCAAGACTGTTTTGTTGGTTTCTGGAGACTTAACATGTATATCACACTTAGCAGCTATTAACAGTTTTACTATTTTGAGAAAACCGCTATCAACCGCACACATCAAAGGAGTGTAACCCCCAAAATTCTGTATATTTCTGTCTATTTTCGGATGCTTCAGCAAGACGAACGTTGCTGCTACAAAACCTCTTCCAGCAGCAATATGCAATGCAGTATCGCCATTTATATCTTGAGCATTCGGATCGCAACCCTTTTCTAACAATTTCTTTATCAATTCGCCGGCATTTTTCTTGGCTGCGTAATGGAGCAATGTATATTGGCTTCGATCTCTGACATTTGTATCTATTTCGTATTTTAGCATAGCCAGAGCCGAGAGAAAATTTCCGTGATCTATTGCGGTAGCTACAGGAATTTCTCCTAAATTATTTTTTATATTAATATTAGGTCTAGCTAAAAGAACAATTTCCATGGCTTCCAAATCTTCTTTTTTCCCCATTGCGATTATATGAAGAGGCGTATTTCCCAATTTATCTTTTAATTCTAAATCACATCTCGGTACCATCTCTTTTAGTATACTATGCAACGTCAATGTGTTGATATTCTTCCCAGAAGTACAAACTTTACATAAAATATGTATGGGTGTGCTTTCAGTCATTTTATCTTGTATGTTGTAATTTGCATTTCTTCGTTCCAGAAATAACTGTACTATTTCTTGATTGAAAACTTTTGGGTTAACAGATACATGGAGAGCCGTGATACCCTGAATATTGGTAAGGTTGACGTCTGCATGAGCTGCTAATAAAACCTTGACGATTTCTACATGCCCCAAATTGGTTGCTTCGATCAACGGCAATTTTCCCGTTGCTATATCTTGCGCATTGGCATTTATCCCTGCCTCAAGAGATCTTCGTACTTGCTCCACGTTATTATGCCGAATAACTTCATGAAATTCTCTGATTTTACTATCTAAATCTGTTCGGTGTATTTTATCCTCCAAACTTAAATGCTGGCGACAAGCGATCTTTCCCTTAACAATCGTATGGTCTTGAAAATTTCTACTCTCCTGAATATCTGCAATGGAATCGCCTCTTTTTCTGTTTGTGACGTTGTTAAGAGACATCCTTTACCGAATACGAAATTTAATTTCTAAATTGAGGGTCTCTATAGTCGTAAACTATACTAGACCTACAATCCGGAGATGTCGTTTGTTGGAAAGACAATAACGTTGTTTGTCATAATTAAATTTTAACAATAAAAAGGATTTTAACTGCACTTAATCTAAAACTAAAAGTATTCTGCGGTCTTATTTAATAAATGTAAATTACGATTGACTGATTCGGTTGCATTTAATGTATATGTTATATATATATATATATATATATACAGTATATATATATTTACATGTAATTCTTTATTTGTTAAAATAAATTATATACATTTAGCTTAGAAATAAAATAATTTATTTAAATAATTCCACGTGCATAATTTCAGTACAAGCAGTGGTATTAAGAATGAGATTACTACTTTCTCATTAACAAAAATGAGGTCCTAAAAACATAAACAAAAATAGAATAAAAATACACAACATAAACTCCGAATAATAGTCTCTTACAATAGTTAAAAATAAAAGAGGCTAGATAGATAAAACTCCGTTAACAGCGCTGTTAAAACGTGTAAAAATTCAGTCGAATAATATTAAATATAAAGAATAATTACCTAATTTCTTTTCTTGGCGCTAGCAATAAAAATATCAATTTAATTTATAATGTCGATAGTTTTTAATAATTTTATCAAATACAGTAGTTTAAGTTGCAATTTCAGAGGAACGTTCATCATATCAGCGATTGAGAAGCCATTGATTTCTATCATTTTTATAACCTCGAAACAAACTCGACTAATTTTTTTGAATAAACTGAATTTAATAATAAAGTAAAACTGAATATTATAATAGAATGTAACAAAAAATTAATATGATTAAAAATTACTTCACAGAATGACAATGCCACAATAAATAATTGCTCGTTCTATTTTTACTTTCCTCCGCTCTGTTATAAATAACAGAAGGAAAGTATGCAGTGACGTGACGTAGCGTGGGTGTCAGCCGCCCGGGGCGAAGGAAAATTTCGCCGCCCCCTTATTTAGGTATCTCAATTTAAAAGACAAAAATTCAGTTTCGTCACAGAATAAGTAATGAAAAATTCCGTACTCATTTCAATTGGTCCGAATCGTAGGTGCGACAAAAATATGAAATGAAATGGTTCAAATTTTTACAAGATATTATTTATTGTGAAATTTTGCCGCCCCCACTACGCTACGCCACTGAAAGTATGGCAATCTGTGAAAAAATAACCCCCAAGATTTTTTACATTATTGGACTCGGGAGATCTTGAAACGTCGAGAAATGCAGAAAAAAAAACAATTTTTTTTTCTGTTTGTGTGGATGTTAGTGTATGTGTGTGTTTGTGGCGCGATTTTGTTCACTTTTCCGACTTTTCCGGCAACATAGAGGCGCCATCTGTTATAATATTTTATTAAAATCTTTTTATATTTTTAGCCATTATAAAATGCCAATAAACTTAATTTCGAGGGTAGGGATGGTTTTTATAATTAAAAAAAAATTGTAAATGTTACTAACGAGTGAAGTAGCAATTAAGTCTGACCCTATTCCAGATTTGACACACGATCCCCTTTATCTCTCCCCCTGTCGACATTTAACCACTAAAATTTAACATCATCTATCGCCCTAATACACAAACCTCCCTGCAAAATTTCAGAAATTTTCGGCAAAAATCACAGGAGTTA